AGAGAGAGAGAGAGAGAGAGAGAGAGAGAGAGAGAGAGAGAGAGAGAGAGAGAGAGAGAGATGGCACCCAAGCGATTGAGATGGCACGCAGAACACCGGGGCACAGATGTGTCTGAATGGGGCGCTGAATGCGTCCACATTTAGACACATCTGTGGCAAGCGTCGTTTCGGCCTTTTCCGCCCCCGCCCCCGCCCCCGCGCCCTTTCCTTTTTGAAACTCGCAGCTCAAGGACCGCGGCCTGTGCCAACCCAGTGCGCGTGCACGGTCCCACAAGCAGCTACCGGTCCAAAAGAAACTGCCACTAGCTGCCAAAGTGACCTGCCTGCACGTGCCTGCATTTTTGGAGCCTTCCAACGACCGACCAGCTGGAATGAACGACCGGTATAACGACGACGACGAAAAATGTCTTCCGGGGGGGAAAACGCAACCCGTCAACATTGTGCTATTTTCATATGTATCTGAATGTACATTGCTTGTGATACTTTGCTAATGCTGCATTGTCCATTCGAGTCCTTTTCATCACTTTGCGGATCCTTGGCTCCATATATATTGCTCAACTGAGCATGTATCAGTCCCGGAATCAACTGGCCTAGTTCAGTTGGTACACCCCTGAACTGTTGGAATACAGACCCGAGTTCGAATTCCACCGGAAGCAGATGAGCGAAACTACAATTCTGAATGAGTTAGTCCCGGTGCTTGGCTGCCATTCACTGCTGCGATGCATGTTTCTTCGTGTTGTTTGTGTTTTACCAGTCATGGCACTATGACGAGAAGTTGGGAATGGCAGCGAGGAGACCGGTTCCAATCCAAGTTCCACCGTGCGGGGCAGGTGAATCTGATGCAACCGGTAGCTTTTGGAGCCTTCACCACAGCAGTGGCTGTGCGTTGAGGACCTAGTTTTGGAAACTGAGGGTGTGCCCTCCAAGAAGGAGTCGTCATGAGGCGCAATGGGGCTTTGGGGCTGTCTGCCCCGGTGGCATTTACGGTTTATGTTGTTTTGTTGCTTATGTTCTTCTTCTTTGGCGTTAGCCTCGCGATCTACTGTGATGACGAGGACTGTTATGAAGTTCTAAAAGTCAAACAGACTGCAACCCCGGCAGAGATCAAGAAAGCGTACTACAAGTTGTCACTGCAATACCACCCGGACAAAAACAAGGACCCGGATGCGCAAAAGATATTTGCAAAGATCGCGACGGCATATGAAATTCTGTGGAATGAGAAGACCCGTGCGGACTACGACTATTTCTTGGCTCATCCAGATGAAGTGTTCTATAACACCATGCAGTATTACCGGCGATACGTCGGACATCAGGCAGACGTGCGCGCGGTGGCGATCGGCTTCCTGCTGGTGTTGTCAGCGGTGCAGTACGCGGCAGCATGGGGGCACTACAGGAGTGTAATTGAGGCGGCAAAGCAAACGCCAGCGTATCGAAACAAGCTGAAGGCATTGGAATGGGAGAGAAGAGGTGGTTTGGTGTCCAGAAAGAAGGGGGGCAAGGGGGGTCGGAGCAAAGGTGTAACCAGCGAGGAAATGGAGAACCTAGAAGCAGAGGTGGAAGTGGAAGTCCATGGTGCGGAGAAGCCTACCATCTGGGGTTTGGTAGGCATGCGGGTATTGCTTCTGCCGTATGTGATAGGCAGGCTTCTTCTTTGGGAAACTCGTTGGATCATGCAGTACGGAATAAAGAAATATCCCTACTCATGGAACGATGCCGCCTACCTTACGCGCAGATCTCTGGGTTATTCGGAAGACATTTGGTGGGCTATTGGCCAATCCAGAAGGGAACGCCTCATGGACCATCAGATCTGGATCCCGGCCAATCGCATTGCATTCGAGAATGCGCAGCGAGAATCACGGAGGCGGCACTAAAAGCTTCTTTTTTTTGTGTGCAAACTGCGCCAGCCAGGAGAGGTAAAACGAGCACCTTGTGCAACGATTTTACAGAATAGGGCATACACATCATCCCCAAATCGCGGCGCATTTGAGGAGTGGGAGATGGTAAGGACCTTTGGAATGCACAAGGGGAGGCGGAAGCACTAGAGGTTTACATTATGCAAACGGCTTCAGCCAGGAAAGGTGACACCTTGTGCCAGGATTGTGGACTGTAGGACGTGCACCACCGCCAATCAGATTGCGCGGGGGGGCAGGGGGGGAGAGGACATTGTGGACCACCGTTGGATCTGGATTCATGATCTGCTTTGCTGCGGATCACATCACGTTTGAGTGCATGGAAAGGGAATCCTGAAGATGACACACATGTGGACCATGGATGGCCCTGTTGCTTGAGACAAAAGGACAAGTAGACAATGCAGGCGATTGGCAAGCCATCCTGTCATCCATCGAACGTCTTGACTGTTAAGAACTGTGGTGAAGGTTTGATGTGCATGACGAAAGACCTTGATGCTGTAGCTTGATAAATGGATGCACTCCCATTTGACACCCAAGAGAAGTGGATGCAATGGCACTTCACTTGCTTGTCAAATTGATGCGCGAATGGATGCCTGAACTGATGCCGCCATTCGCTGACCTCTGAGAGGGAGGCATTCCTGAAGCCCAGGGCCCCATTATTCTTGTCCTAATTTTTCCTTACTGCAGTCTTACAGTTGATTATTCATCTCTTCTCTTCTCATGTAACACTGACTTCCGGAATGCTCGCAAATGGACTTTTGTGACGGAATTTGGCTGTAACCACAGGCAAATACATCGAGGAAATAGCCAGTGTGAGCATGCCCTCAGTCGCGGTGATGATGTGGTCTGGGGCACGGCATACGTTGAAATTGGAACGGTACAGAGTAAGATCGGCATGGTCCCTGCACAAGGCTGACAGATACAAGTCTCTCTCGACTCTTGTGTTAATATTACTCGCACAAGTTGCTGCGAGGTGTTGCTGCGTGGTGAAGCTTTACTCATGGCTGCTGGAAGGTGCAGGGGTTTTTGCGGGTATGCGGAAATGGGGATGGTGGCTGTTGGAGGGGAATGTGCAGGGGGGTTTGCGGGTATATGTGGAAATGGGGAGGTTACGTATTTTGACTGAAGGGCTGTTTTCTTCATTTCTTGTTTCTGTTTTGGGTGCTGACAAGGACAGCAGGGGAGGATGAAGTCTGGGATGAGGTAGGATATGTGGAAATGGGGAGGTTACTTATTTTGACTGACAAGGACAGTAGGTGAGGATGACGTCTAAAATTGGAGGAGATGAGGTAGGAGTGTGAGTCTGGACGAGGGTAAGGAATGTTTATCAGTTTGTTATGCAAGAATGCAACATGTGCTATAGAGTGTGGCTGTTGTGGACAGTTGCCTATGAACTGAAAGCCATTCGCTTAATGCTACATGTTTTGTACTGTGTATATGCAGCATTCTGGTTGTATGTATGTTGTTATGGTCTACACTGTCTGCCATCTCCTATACACAGCGCTGCCATCTTCCCCGGAGCAAAATACATGCCTGTAAACCAATAGGATGCCGTAGTACTTTCTTTTCATTTACAACACCTGTATTCCTACTAAATGCCCATTACACATCCCACGAGATTCGAAATCGTGTATCGGCAAAGTGCGACGCAGAGGGGATTTGTCTCGGCAAAAAGAGGCTTGGATGTGGTTGAACGTAGTGCAATAGGACTCTTGGGTGGATCGTCCAGGGTTAGAGGGGGGGAGGGGATAAGAGGCAGATAATGTGTGTGTGTGTGTGTGTGTGTGTGTGTGTGTGTGTGTGTGTGTGTGTGTGTGAGAGAGAGAGAGAGAGAGAGAGAGAGAGAGAGATTGTTCCATTTATTGATACGAGAGAAAGAGAGAGAGAGTCAGAGAGTGAGAGAGAGAAAGAAAGAGAGATATAGAGAGAGGGAGGCGGGGGGGCTACCAGAGAGAGAGAGAGAGGCTGAATGGCAAAATTGAAATATGGGTCAAATTGCAGCTGCGATGTATTCAACAGTTAGAATGATTTAAAAAAAAATTATTTAGCATTTTTCTTGGAAAGATCACAACAAAATCTACGAGTACTCCAATTTCCAGGTTTTTTCACGCATTCTTCTGAGCACTCACTGGATCTTGAGTACTTTTTCAGTTGGCCCACACATGACTGAGTGGCAAAAATGGAAAATGTGCCGAATTGGCGCAACGATTATTTCGCTGTCTAAATGATTTTTTGAAAATGTTCTGACATTTTTCCTGGAAATAAAATGACCTCATCTATGGATTCTCAAAATTTCAGATTTTTTTGCGGATTCCCCCGAGCACAGAAAATCGGCAAAGTTGCCTCGTGCAAAACATCTGTTTCGTTGCGCTTGACCTCCCTGTTTTGAGAAGACGGGCCTCAACGGCTGCACCTGAGGACCCTTTTGCAGTTCACATGCCCTCATTCGTATTGGGGTCTGGACCGAGGACCGGTCCCTCCTTTTTCCAGAACTCCCGGTTCTAGAAGAGCTAGCTGTAGGAAGTCCGCAATATCTCGAAGGACCGGTCCTCCAAATTCTCCCCCCCCCAAAAAAAAAACACTTGCATCGTGGTCGCCCGCTGCCAAAAATGCAACACCTTGACACAGATGCCAAAGCCCACTATACTGCAGCCTTAGGGCTGCGAACTGAGGGCGCCCAGATTATTGTCTACCGCGTGGGGGCGGTGATAACAGCCTTAAGGTAGCCAAAGCAATGAGACTAAGAGCGCGCACGAGAGAGAGAGAGAGAGAGAGAGAGAGAGAGAGAGAGAGAGAGAGAGAGAGAGAGGGTTTTGTTCCATTTATTGAGTGAATTTGAGGGAGAGAGACAGAGAGAGAGAGCGACAGAAAGAGAGAGAGAGAGAGAGGAGAGGGGGTGGGGGCTACCGGAGAGAGAGAGAGAGAGAGAGAGAGAGAGAGAGAGAGAGAGAGAGAGAGAGAGAGAATGGTAAAATTGATGTATGGGTCAAATTGCGGCCGCGATCTATTTCACGGTTGGAATGATTTTTAAAAATTCATTTAGTATTTTTTTTGGAAAGATCACAACAAAATCTACGAGTTCTCCAATTTTCAGTTTTTTTCACATATTCTTCTGAGCGCGAAAACTCCCTGAATTTGGAGTACTTTTTCAGTTGACCCACACATGGCTGAGCGGCAAAAATGGAAAATGTGCTGAATCGGCGCGATGATTATTTCGCGGTCTAAATGATTTTTTGAAAATGTTATGATACTTTTCTTGGAAAGAGCACGGCCTCGTCTATGGAGTCTCAAAATTTCAGATTTCTCTGCGGATTCCTCCGAGCTCAAAAAATCGCCACAGTTGCCTCTTGCAAAACGCCTGTTTCGTTGCGCCTGACCTCCCTGTTTTGAGAAGACGGGCCTCAACGCTTGGGCCTTAGGGCCCTTTGCCCTCACTTCTTTTTGGGGTCCTTTCTCACCCGTGGACCAGTCCTTCATTTTTCCAAAAGTCCCGGTTCTACCAGAGCTAGCTGTAGGTAGTCTGCAATTTTGCGAAGGACCGGTCCCCAAAAAAGTTTTGCCCCTTAAGAACCCACTTTGCGTCCTGGTCGACCGCCGCCAAAAATACAACACCTTGACATAGACGCCTAAGCCCACTATACCGCGGCCTTAGGGCTGTGAATTTAAGGAGGATTTGACCTCATGCCTGTATTTCAACAGTTCATTTGTGTGGCATGCACATTGGCTTTTCAGACACGCATTGCTTTTCTGGAGGTAGCGTCATCGGAATTTTTTGTGTTGGTAGGCGCTGCCTGGGAAGGAATTGGCAGCGCGGAGCAGATTCGGGCTGGGTGCAAGGGGCGTGCAAAATTGCAGCCTTTCTCTCTCTCTTTTTTTCGCCTGCGCGTTGTGTGCCTGAAGATGCGGAGCGCTGCATTCACACTCGGCCGAAAGAGCAATTAAGTGAGTCGCCGTGACTTAGCGAAGTGCACCCTCTCTTCCTCTTTCCTTGTCTCTCTCTCCCTCACTCCCTCTCTCTCTCTCTCCCTTCCTCCCTCCCTTCCGCCCTTTTGTGCGCGAAGAGTAAGGTTCCGTTCACACTCGGCCCCGAAACCGAATAGGTGGGAGCGGGTTTTTGGTCGGTCAGGACGGGATGCGACGACACAAAAGTAGAAAGAGGGTCATCGCGATAGGGTGAAGCATGCAGGGCAAGTTTGCCAACGTGAAGGAGGTTGTGGAGGAGGAAGACGTCGAGGAGGGTCCAAAGGGGATGGGCAGCGTGGATTGGGAGGTGGTCGTTCAGGATGTGGGATCGAGAGGAGGAGAAGGTCGGAATGCTAGCCAAGCAGCGTGAGGATGTAGGAAACGATGAAGTACAGGGGAAAAAAGGTCAAGGCAATTGGGTAAGCAATGTTCGTCGTGTAGGCGGATGAGGACAAGGTGGGGAAGAAGAGGTTGCAAGGCAGGGAGAGGTTCTAGAGCGAAGGGGAGGGAACAAGTAAGGAAAGGAGGGAGCAGGATAAGGACTAAGGGCCTCAATCATGAGAGGGATAGGGTAGAGGGATAGGGTAAATGGGGATATGGAGCGATGGAGAGAGAGCAATGAATTGAGAAACAGCAACAGACACAGGAAGAGTGGAAAGGTAATATCAGATCCAAAGGGGCCACATCTAGTCTTGGAGAGAGGAGCTCGAAGAGGATCCCAACGGAGGAAAGGAAGGCGTGGAGAGAGAGAGAGAGAGAGAGAGAGAGAGAGAGAGGGCATTTGATGATTGTTAATGACCGGGCGCATCCCCTTGAGGGGGGGAGAGAGGGATGGAGAGTGGGGAGAAAAGCAAGAGAGCGGGAAGAGTGAGGGAAAAGGAGATGGCTAGAGGGACAGGGGAGAGAGAGGTCCTAGTGGTTAAGTAATCTTCGCGCCACTGTCTTCTCTTCATGGCTGCGGCCCCGTCATCACTACAAGTGCGGCCGTAGATGGTTCTAGATGTTACACCCCCACCCCCACCCCCACCCCACGCCCTTATCTGGCCCGGGCGACATTGTGGGTGTTTTTTTTAGAACATGAGGGGGGCCATCGGCCAAGGCATCAGCACGCCTTTGGATCCTTTGTAAATTAGAACTATTTTATTGTGGTCGCTGATTCGAGCTCACGTCTGCAATTGAACAGTTTCATGTGTGCATCAACTAAGCAGCCTGCCAATGTGCAAAATGAGAAGCAATCTTCCGCAAGAACATAGGATGATACACCTCGACGGACAGATACATTGAAAATAAATCCCCGTGTATAAACTAAGGAGTTGTCAGATGAAAATGTCCCCTTGCACGCGCGCGCGCGCGCGCGCGCGCGCGAGAGAGAGAGAGAGAGAGAGAGAGAGAGAGAGAGAGAGATTTCCATCCATTGGATGAGCAACATGAGAATGATCTGTCGCTAGAAGATGGAAATATACACTACCACATTTTCGGTCTTTGGCAGTGTATATTTCCATGTAGTGGCAGTGGATACTTCCATGTTCTAGGAGAAGATTTAATCCCATTTTGCTCATTTCGTGAAGCGTGGCAATGTCGGTCTTCTTGTGTATGCGTAGGATGAGCAAAACCGAAATGAATCTTCAGCCAGAACATGAAAATATACACTGAGAACAGGTAAGTCTCCAACCTCGCGCCTCGTCTCATGGTACTTCCATCGATAGGATGAGCAAAATCGAATGAATCTA